CACGTGTGATCGTGAGAGTATCACGTGTGATCGTGAGAGTATCACGTGTGATCGTGAGAGTATCACGTGTTATCGTACTCTACATGAGTGTATCACGTGTTATCGTGAGAGTATCACGTGTGATCGTGAGAGTAACACGTGTGATCGTGAGATTAACACGTGTGATCGTACTCTACATGAGTGTATCACGTGTTATCGTGAGAGTATCACGTGTGATCGTGAGAGTAACACGTGTGATCGTGAGATTAACACGTGTGATCGTGAGAGTAACACGTGTGATCGTGAGTTTATCAGTTGATCAGAGAGTATCACGTGTGATCATGAGAGTATCACGTGTGATCATGAGAGTATCACGTGTGATCATGAGAGTATCACGTGTGATCATGAGAGTATCACGTGTGATCATGAGAGTATCACGTGTGATCATACTCTACATGAGTGTATCACGTGTTATCGTGAGAGTAACACGTGTGATCGTGAGAGTATCACGTGTGATCGTGAGAGTACCACGTGTGATCGTGAGAGTATCACGTGTGATCGTGAGAGTACCACGTGTGATCGTGAGAGTATCACGTGTGATCGTGAGAGTATCACATGTGATCGTGAGTGTATCACGTGTGATCGTGAGAGTATCACGTGTGATCGTGAGAGTATCACGTGTGATCGTGAGAGTAACACGTGTGATCGTGAGAGTATCACATGTGATCATGAGAGTATCACGTGTGATCGTACTCTACATGAGTGTAACACGTGTGATCGTGAGAGTAACACGTGTGATCGTGAGAGTATCACGTGTGATCGTGAGAGTATCACGTGTGATCGTGAGAGTATCACGTGTGATCATGAGAGTATCACGTGTGATCAGGAGAGTAACACGTGTGATCATGAGAGTAACACGTGTGATCAGGAGAGTATCACGTGTGATCGTGAGAGTATCACATGTGATCATGAGAGTAACACGTGTGATCAGGAGAGTAACACGTCTGATCAGGAGAGTATCACGTGTGATCGTGAGAGTATCACGTGTGATCAGGAGAGTAACACGTGTGATCAGGAGAGTATCACGTGTGATCGTGAGAGTATCACATGTGATCATGAGAGTAACACGTGTGATCAGGAGAGTAACACGTCTGATCAGGAGAGTATCACGTGTGATCGTGAGAGTATCACGTGTGATCGTGAGAGTATCACGTGTGATCAGGAGAGTATCACGTGTGATCAGGAGAGTAACACGTGTGATCAGGAGAGTAACACGTGTGATCAGGAGAGTAACACGTGTGATCAGGAGAGTAACACGTGTGATCGTGAGAGTAACACGTGTGATCGTGAGAGTAACACGTGTGATCGTGAGAGTATCACGTGTGATCGTGAGAGTATCACGTGTGATCAGGAGAGTATCACGTGTGATCAGGAAAGTATCACGTGTTATCAGGAGAGTAACACGTGTGATCAGGAGAGTATCACGTGTGATCAGGAGAGTAACACGTGTGATCAGGAGAGTAACACGTGTGATCAGGAGAGTATCACGTGTGATCAGGAGAGTAACACGTGTGATCAGGAGAGTAACACGTGTGATCAGGAGAGTATCACGTGTGATCAGGTGATCAGGAGAGTAACACGTGTGATCAGGAGAGTATCACGTGTGATCAGGAGAGTATCACGTGTGATCAGGAGAGTATCACGTGTGATCAGGAGAGTATCACGTGTGATCATACTCTATATATATGATGGTTCGGTACCACTTTACAATAAGACTACCCTTATAAAGGGTTTAGGAATAGTTTGTAATTCATTTATTAATTAGGTTGTGAACACTTTATAAATCATGAATAAGCTTTTATAAGACATGAGATAAACAGGGCAACTGTGACCGGTTGCTTGCCAAATAGTGAGCCCACATGTATCTGTACTGCTAAGCCTTATATTAGCTTACTTCGTCTTCTTCATCAGCCAGCATCCTTGGTATCTGTTGCTCACTGAGTTGATTCTCGCAACAGTAGTAGCCAACATAAGGCTGAGTCATCTTGCCAAATAGTGAGCCTGTGTTGATATATGAGAACTATGTTAGAACTGGTTTATAAATGGTTCTTAATGATTAATAAAGTGTTTACAATCTAATTCATAACCTAATTATAAAGCCTTGGTACCGATGGTTCAGTGTGAGCTCAGTACCAGTGAACACAAAGAGCCTCTGTCCATCATAATGACCATCAGCTGACCTCCCTGTGTGTGTGTGTGTGTGTGTGTGTGTGTGTGTGTGTGTGTGTGTGTGTGTGTGTGTGTGTGTGTGTGTGTGTGTGTGTGTGTGTGTGTGTGTGTGTGTGTGTGTGTGTGTGACAGCATAGCCAGAGCATTCAGGCGATCCTGTGTCATGCTGTTCCTCAAGAAAGTCTTGATCCTTCTCAGAGTGGAAAAGCACCTCTCTGCCTCAGCCGTAGCCATGGTTACAAGAACCTTCAGAAGACTGACAGTCTCTGTGAATGTCTCCTGCAGATTGTTGTCAATGAAGAACTGGAGCACCACTGCAAGCCCTGAACTGGTCCATGTCAGAGACGAGGGACAGTTCCCTCTTGAGCTCTGCCTTGTCCCGTAGAGGCTCGGCCTCCACAGGTGTTTCCAGCGCTGCTTCAGGGAATGTTCGGCTGCTGGAACAGGTCTCCTTGCAGGAGGGAACAGGTCTCCTTGCAGGAGGGTGGAGCTGATGAGGTGTTTGGTGAAGGACATCTCTCCTTTGCGTGACTCAGTATGGTATCACATACCTATGAAATAATGCACTATGAGAAAAGTAAATAACAGAATCACCTTTTCACATCTATCAGTCATGATGTCATTAGTGTCCCCTATAAGATGTGTAACAAACAAAGAATCAGGATAACAGGACATCTATCTGAGCGTCAACAGAACAATATTACTGTTTAAAATGAAGTCACTACAATATATACATTTAATGACTATTTGTACACTTCATTCATTCATTGTTGGGCCCTTTCTGTCCTTCCTGCTTCTGGAAGCCTGAACCTTTTCTGATCTGTCTTGATCCCCTTTGAAACGTAAAGACTGTGGGACACTTGTTGCACTTTAGGCCTTTTTAGTATACTATTCAGAATGTAATAAGCAATAGGCCTTTCCATGTGGATATTTTAACTAGCCTACCTATTTATTGAATTTACAGAAAATGGGCTTTATTGTGCGGGCGGGGGAGGCGATGGTGAACTGTATGAGTTTGTGGTCAGAGAGGGGAAAGGGGCAGGGGTGGAGGTCGAGTCCTGGGAGGTTGGTGGAGCAGACAAGGTCAAGGATGTGTCCTTTATCATGGGTGGGGTAGGTGACATGTTGGGTAAGTGAGACATTGTCCAGAAGGGAGGAGAATTCAGAAGCGAGTTTGCAGGGTGGGGGGGGAGTCCACGTGGAGGTTGAGGTCGCCGAGGAGTAACAGACGTGGGGAGAGGGATGAAGCAATGGTGAGGAGTTCAGAGAGATCAGAGAGGAAGGAGGGGTGTGGTTTGGGGGGCCGGTAAATGAGGATAACTGTCAGTGAGGGAGGGGCTTTGAAGGATGGTACTGAGGGTTAGGGTTAGGGTTAGCCAAGCTACGTGAGAAGCCTCGTTGATAGCTTGCTGCGATATATACAAATGGGGTTGGTCCGGTCCAAGGTCTTTGACCAACCATTTCTCTCCCAAACTTCTCCTTTCGAAAGGATTTGATAACAGAGCTTGGACAGGGACCGAGGTCCGGAGTCTCCACCTGCACACGCAGCCATCCTCATCAACGACTGTAGCGTCTCCTTGGATACGAGTCCAAACAACTCACAGACTGCCTTGGGCGCTGAAGTTGTAGCCCTTTGACCATCAGATCTGACGACGCTGATTGGCTGAAATTATGTTTCGGCAGCATAGTACTTTTCAGGTATCAACAGTCAGCACTTGGTTGGCTGCTGCTGCACTTAGGGCTCTTTTCTTAGCGCCCAGACGAGAGAGGGTCATGATACACGATGCGGCCAGGCAGGAAACACGTGACTTATCAGTAACTTCAGACATCGTAACACAATTTTAAACGAGATTTTATTGTAGATTATAAATTTTACTGATACCAACTATATCATATTTACCTTGTTCATTACAATAAAAAAAAAAAATATATATATATATATGTATTTTTTTTAATGACAATCTAAAATGTGGGAAGAGGGGGGGGCGGCGCCCCTAGCGCCCCTATGGGCCGACCGCCACTGTCTGTACTAATACCCTGTTAAAGTAATACTCTGTACTAATACTCTGTACTAATACTCTGTACTAATACCCCGTTAAAGTAATACTCTGTACTAATACTCTGTTAAAGTAATACTCTGTACTAACACTCTGTACTAATACTCTGTACTAATACTCTGTACTAATACTCTGTTAAAGTAATACTCTGTACTAACACTCTGTACTAATACTCTGTACTAATACTCTGTACTAATACCCCGTTAAAGTAATACTCTGTACTAATACTCTGTACTAATACTCTGTTAAAGTAATACTCTGTACTAATACTCTGTACTAATACTCTGTACTAATACTCTGTACTAATACCCCGTTAAAGTAATACTCTGTACTAATACTCTGTACTAATACTCTGTTAAAGTAATACTCTGTACTAACACTCTGTACTAATACTCTGTTAAAGTAATACTCTGTACTAATACTCTGTACTAATACTCTGTACTAATACTCTGTACTAATACTCTGTTAAAGTAATACTCTGTACTAATACCCTGTACTAATACTATGTTAAAGTAATACCCTGTACTAATACTCTGTTAAAGTAATACTCTGTACTAATACTCTGTACTAATACTCTGTACAAATACTCTGTACTAATACTCTGTTAAAGTAATACTCTGTACTAATACCCTGTACTAATACTATGTTAAAGTAATACCCTGTACTAATACTCTGTTAAAGTAATACTCTGTACTAAAACTCTTTACTAATACTATGTTTATGTTTTTATGTTAGATGTGTTATGTCTTGTCCTTGTATGTTTCTTTGTAAAGCGACCTTGAGGTTATGAAAGGCGCTATATCAATTCAAGTTATTATTATTTTTTCATTTAATGGTTTATTTGAACCGGGACAGAACACATTAATGAACATTTTAAACAAAATAATGCTTTGAAATGTAAATGAGCCGGATTTGAGCTTTGAGCTAGTTTCCATCCGTAGTCCCGTCACGTACAACATTTAAGAACATTACATTTATAAACATGGCAAACAGAAATACATGATATGCAGAAAGAGCATGAGCAGCATACAAGCATTTACCACAAGGTCGTGCAATGTAGGAGCTATGTACTAA